CATAGACAACTGTACTTATCTCCCCTCAAAGTACCAACACTGACAAGATATAATCATTACATTAGAACCTCAAAAAGGTGCTTCATGTTAGCATTTCACTCTGCAATCTTTTAATTCTGATGATGCGTCATAAGCACACTGTCTACTTTAGGGGTGTTCTCAATAATATTCTCAACATCCAAACCATTGTTGGAGTGTTTCTTTACAGAAAGTGTTTGTTTCACACATCTGACAATGTTCTAAAAGGTTAAGATTGAGAGGATCAACTTCACTGAACCCCCTTCATCCCATATGGCTTGGTCTCCCTCTGCAGAACAGCTGGCAACCTGCCAAAGTGTCACACAAACCACAGACACTGTAGCTCCAGTCTGACACTTCCCCATAAAGACCCCCCAACAACAATATCCTAAACCACACTTAGTTAACTGTAGGCCTAAAAGGTCATTGAAGAGGCAACAGATTTTAACTATAAACAATTTACATGCTAAGATGACTCCAGAACTACCTGCGGATTAGGAAAGATCACCCACCTAGCATAGAGACTGAATCCAGACCACTTTGTCTTAGGTCTGTGAAATTATTGACAGTATGGCTCTTCCACTAATGTAGCCTGAAGTATGGCTCTTCCACTACTGTAGCCTGACAGTATGGCTCTTCTACTACTGTAGCCTGACAGTATGGCTCTTCCACTACTGTAGCCTGACAGTGTGACTCTTCCACTACTGTAGCCTGACAGTATGGCTCTTCTACTACTGTAGCCTGACAGTGTGACTCTTCCACTACTGTAGCCTGACAGTATGGCTCTTCTACTACTGTAGCCTGACAGTGTGACTCTTCTACTACTGTAGCCTGACAGTGTGACTCTTCCACTACTGTAGCCTGACAGTACGTCTCTTCCACTACTGTAGCCTGACAGTATGGCTCTTCCACTACTGTAGCCTGACAGTACGACTCTTCCACTACTGTAGCCTGACAGTACGACTCTTCCACTACTGTAGCCTGACAGTTCGACTCTTCCACTACTGTAGCCTGACAGTATGGCTCTTCCACTACTGTAGTCTGACAGTATGACTCTTTCACTATTGTAGCCTGACAGTAGGACTCTTCCACTACTGTAGCCTGACAGTATGGCTCTTCCATTACTGTAGCCTGACAAAACATCAGTTACATTCTTACTGTTTAGAGAGACAGATAAGAGAAGCAAAGTAATTTAACCTCAAATATTTTGTCCTACACAATAAATAAATGGTGCAGGGCTAACTAACCCAATCTTGAGAACATCTTAAATATAAATTGCAGCCAATTATAACCATGAGATGATTGACAGGATGTCAGATAAAGTGAAAAACTAAACTAGTCAAGAAAACAAGCATGACAGATCAAGAATTCATTCATTACAAACTGGCACAGGTTGTGGTCCAACAAAAACTTCAATTTGACAATAACGATCACAATGCACAGTAACAATTGAAAAAATGTTGCTTCAAACACAAATAAATATAACTGAAAACATTAAAATACACGTTTATCACAAAAAATAAAAAGGTTGCAAATGTGCAGTCTTTCAGCACCTGTGACAGCAAATATTTAAAAAAAAAAACTGATACTGTTTGAGAATACACTCCCCAAAAAAATATATTAACACCAGCAAACACACACACACAAATGGCTTCCTTAGCAAATTACTTGATGGGCCAGAGATACGCGAAGAAAGAAAAAAAAATGGATGAAAATGTGTCCCAAAAGTGTTGATGAAAAATGGCAGATGGTGACATGTGTGTTGGTGTTAGTACTGTCAATAGACAACTCATCACGATACTTGTTGCCAGAAAGTGACTATCATCATCATCTGGTCCCACTTCTAGAAATCCACTCAGCCTTGCCTTTCCCAGCTTGTGAGTTAAATTGAGTCAAGAATTGACATCACAGCACTCAGGGCATTACCATGCATGCTCCGTCCTCATCTTCAGCAGCCAGCTAGGAGTTCCAATTCTAATGGTACTAATCACACTCTAGTTATGTGTCTGTCTTGCCTATCCTCTGAGTGTAGTGAGCCAGCCATACCCGCTGGTTACACCTGGGTGCCTCATTCTCTCCAGGCCATAATAATCTTCTTTCTCTACTGATTCCGTTCCTTGTTCCCAAAGGGCCTTGACCACATCTGATTTGTCATGTATCAATTCCTCACCCAGTAGTGCAGATACAGCCAATCTGTCTGCCTGTTCATTACCTATTAAGCATAGACTGGAGAAAAGATCCAAAGTATGCTCACTACCAGTGACCTTCCCAGTGAAGCTTTCCACTCTGCTTGAAGTATCCCTGTCTTCACCTTTCTCAGCGTGCTTTCAATGTCGGTTACAATTATGACCTGTGTGTGCATCTTGTTCTCTAGCCACCGCAGAGCTGCAGCTACTCCACCTCTATTCTTTTGCTATAAGTTGTGATGCCCTATGCTAGGCTGTCTTGCAGTAAAGATTTTCCATTGGCTTTCGCTACGAATCTCCAGGCACTTCTCATTTCTCTCAACAACGAACCATCTGTATAGATGATCAGATTACCTGGACGTGAATTGTCGTAAATCAACTGTTGGACTTTCACCTTCGTAGCACCCGCTGGCCACACTCTGCACTCCTGGCCCAATATATTCATAACCCTACACAGGTCAGGCCATTTGGCTGGTACTCTAACCCTCCTTTCCTCGCCCAATGTTCTCCAGCATGCATTCTTGTCTTATTGTGTCTTCTGCTTGAGCCATCCACGGTTTTGCCCTTTTCAGCCTCAGTGCCTTACCTGCAGCCAAAGCTTCATACAGAGGGTGTTCTTTCTGTGCAGCTAGCTACTCTGAGATATGACTTAGCCTGCAGCACCTTTAGCCTATTTGCAAGTCAGCAATGCAGTGATGTTTCGCATGCACACAATCAGTGTGTCTCTTGTGCATCGTAGGATCACCTGCATAGCTTTTTTCCCAGCTTGTAAACTTCCATGCAGAAGAGGTTCTAGATATCCGCCATCAACTGCCAACCTGGCCAACCCTTGCCTTTACTTCCCAGAAGCACATCCTCCATTACACAGAAAGTGACTACCCTTTATGACATTATCCTCAACAAATTTACACAAATGAATGTTTCGTATCAAAAGCAGTCAACTATTATTTTTCTTTAATAAAAATACAAGTTTTTACAACACCAATGTGGGATTATGTGAACAACCTAATGAATAATTAATGCTAAATTTCAAACAGTCACAATCCTTCATTAACACCTCAATGAACTTTTAATTAATGTATACAGTCAAGTCCACTAAAGTCGAACTCGAATAAGTCGAATTTCGGTTAAGTCGACATGAGCAGCTTAGTCCTGGCAATTTTCTCTATTGTGTGTGCAGTCTGAATAAGTAGAAATCCTGATAAGTGGAAGCATTTTCTTAGGTACCAGCAACTTCTACTTATCCAGACTCGACTGTATATTGATCCATAACTCTTGTATCACAACTAACTGTACAAATAAACTCTGGCTAATAAGGAAGTGAAATCACCAACAACAAATAGGAAAAGTACCAAGAATATTATTTGACATGTTATTGTTCTGCACACTGTGAATATCTATTCTATTTAACTGAAGGAAAATAGGGGGAAAAAACAACAGCAGATAACACCACATACAATACAAACAAAGCTCTGCTTTGGAAATGTTTAAATTCCGATTCTGATTCCTTTTGAGAAAAACATTCAAAGTTCGACCACTTTCAAACTGCTGCTAGCTAGTTGAAGCTGCTAACAGTCTCCGTCTATTCTGTGGCCTGGGTTGTTTGCGTCACTTTCAGTGTTGCGCAAAATCTGGGCTTGATGCTTCCTTCCTTGGAGATGTTTAAACTGTTATCCTGATGTGTATATTGGTAGGGGGTGGAGGTTAAGCCCTGTACAAGAACACAATAAACAGTAGAACTGTGCTTGCCATTTGAGGACAATCTTTAGGAAGTCAATCACAACAGATCCACAAGGGGCACTACTGGAGAAACAAGTAACAGACCCACTGAGCCTGCCCCCCCCCCTCCCCCCCACATGTTCTGAAAGGTTTCTAATGAGGGCTATGTTGAAATCAAGGTGTGCTGATGAGCCCCACACACAAAAATTCAGACATCATAGCCTAACTGTAAACCGCAATGCAATGTGCCAGGTGTCTTTTCGTAGAAGAAGAAATACAAAAGACATCCAGCAGTCAAGATTGCATTACAATGTGCTTATGGCTACTTGTGCTACATGGCCAACGTATAAAGGGGCAGTCCCGGCTAGTTAGCATCCTTGGATATTCTCTCCAGGTGATGCCGGTGTGTTGGTAAATGAGCAGGCAGATAGACTGGCCAGTTCTGCACCACTTGGTGGTGAACTGATGTATGACAAGCTGGATGCTGTGAGGGCCCTCTGAGAGCACGTGAACAGTGCAGAAGCACAAAAAGATCATTACCGACTGAGGAGAATGGCGCTGCAAGGAGTTACCAGGGGATCTGGCCAATGCTAAACCCTTAAGGGAAAGGTGAGACAGATGTACAATCAGACTGTTACTAGTACCATCAGAACTGGGACTCTTCATTTGCTGCTGAAGATATGGACAGAGCATTTATGAGTGTCCCGAGTGCTGTGATGTTTAATTCATCAATCAACACAGCAAAGAAATACAGATTAGAAACTAAAACTCCTTTGAACCAATACAGGCACAATATTAAAGAGAACTCAGCTGACAGAACAAAGCAACAGAGAATGCAGATTTTTTTAAAGCCACTAGTAATCATAAAACACAACTGTGATGACGCATTAATACATGGTTTGGTATATTCTTCCCATACAATTCACACATTATTCAAATGCTATGTTTTCAATAGAATTTCACAATATACAGCATCATAAACATGTTTTCTGCTATTTCAGACCAAACATAGGGAACAAAATTAAGAAAAAAGAAAATGTTCTTGTCGCCTTCAAAAAAGGAAGATTCATGGTGATGTTAATTCCCTTTCTTAGAGCCAGAGTCTCCCTGCTCCAGATGCTGAAGTTTTTGCTGGGGAAAAAATATTGGATACATGATGTTCAACAGAATTCACACAAAGATACATGAAGCTGTGGAAAGTTGGAGAGGGGGGGGGGGGGGGGGGGGGGAGCACATACTAAGTTTATAGTAAATGTTCTCAAGTTTTTTCAAGGTCACTGAAGATGTAAAGTGGCAAACATAATAAACAGATATGTCCGATGTAGAACTTTACACACAAAACTGTTCAAAAGGATATACAATATTTAATTTGATAACATCAGATATAAAATTTCCCCTGCCATCCATTATAACCCACTACAGCCCATGATCATCAAGTTAATACTTAAGCATCTGCAATGGCAATCTTCCAAATGTTTAACTCCGCTGAAACTAGCAACTAACGTGGGCATTGCTTTTAACTGAAATCATCTTCATGTGTGATATGAATGTGAGCTATTAGAGCAACATTCAGAGACCAAGCAGCAGCTGTGACCACCACTGATGGAGTCAGATTGAGAACCACTGCGCCGCCTTTATTCTTCTTTTCTAAACCGTATGGTGCGGCAGTTATGTCTATCCACAACCTTGTGTCTCGTGTACTTTCAATCAACTCTGACATGGATGATCCTCCATGCCCCCCCCCCCCCCCCCCCCACTTTCCTACTGTCACGATCTACTCCAGTTTTCTTCTTTTCATGACATGACTACAAAGAATGTAGACTGTCTCTTTCAGATGTGGCAATCAGTTCTCTTCATTGCTTCTTTCAAGACATCATTTCACTTTGCATCTGTCCAGGGTATTTCTATCTTTCGTCTATAAATCACATCTTTGCAGCTTTCAAAAAAGGGTTCACAAATCTGCCAACTGTACACAATTCACTTCTGTATATATATATATCAGGATAGGATTTATAGCGTTTAAGAATATATTTTCTCATCTCAACTGACAAAAAAAAGTTGCACATTTTCCAAAGACCATTTGCCACCCCTTGAGGCATATAGGGCTAGACCTCTATTTCATAGACTAATCGGCACTTGGTGGGTGATGCGCTCAGCATCACAGCAGCCGCCTTTACTTCCCAGAACTGCACCTGTTACCCACTTAAGGCTGGGTATACCAGTGGAGTTAAACTAAGAGCCTCTTTTTGACATTCTGTTACAATTATGTCCTAATTATTATTTCACTTTACAAAGTTAATAAATGGGGTTAAATAAATAGGGTGACAGTAAACATCCCTGTCTAACAACCTTTCTAATGTTATGAAAAGTTCCAACTTGGTTGTCAATTTTTATGGTTGGTTCTGCTATGTCCTGTTAAGGATACGCAACTAACTTTTCCATTGATATTTTACCTTCTCTTGTTTCCAAGCAACTACTTGCTGTATATTTTCTAAACTTGACAGTTCTTGTATCTTTTTATTCTTGTTGTGTGTATTCTCTCTCTGTTCATCAATTTCTTTGCACTTATTATTTAGCCAAACTTCTTTCACTGCATTACATTGACGTACAATTTCTCTATGTATTCTTTTATATTCATCTTAGTTGTATGTACCTTTTCTTCTAATTTCCATGAGATGTAAAAACTTTCCCTGTCATCCATTTCTTCTTTGCTGTTATCTTTACTTCTAGTATTTTTTCTTTTGATGTACGTTGTAATGATTTTTTTAGCATTTGCCATTGTTTATACTGCTGATTTTATTTAATAGTGTTGCATCTTTTTTTTTTTTACTCATTTCCTGATCTAATTCAAGCAATGCCAAATCTAGCCTGGTCTTTATCGGAGCCCTTTTGTTTAGGTTTCTTCAGATTAATCATTAGCTGTCAATGACTCGCAGGGGGTCACTATTACAGTCTGCAACTGGTCTTGTTTTACTGACAGCAAACTGTTTCTAAATCAGATGTTTATAATTGTGAAATTAATCTAATTCTGATAATTATTTCCAGAGCTTGTTCATGTCTACAAGCATCTAGGATCCTTTATTGTTTTTATTCCCCCCCCCCCCCCCCCACAGAGTGTTTAGAGTAAAGACATTCTAGTTATTCTATGAACAAGTTTTCTCAGTGTGTGTTTTATCCAATGTTAGCAGTAATGTTCCCTTAAGCCTGGATTTGCTGAATATTTGTAGTTCTCTCCTTAAGCTCTGCATCAGTGATCCTGTCACACTATACAAATCCTTGTACTTCTACCCGCACAGAGACATATAAAACAATGTTTGCAGTTGATCAACTGTACAGGTGTTCTCTATATTTCTACTTCCCACAGCAATCAGTATTTAACCTTAGAGCTTTAACTTCTACATATTTCTTAGCACTAAGCTAAAAGTTAAAACCACCAGACAAAGTTATAAAATCTACTCACCTGAAGTTTGGCAAACTCTTCTGACAGCCGATCATACTCCAAATTTGTACTCTCAGCCTGTTTCTTTATGCTTGTAAACTCCAATTGAGAATGATACAACTCTTCTTTGGTCTTCTCTAGCTCTGTCTGTGCCCGTGCCAGCTCCTTCTCCAGAAGCAATGTCTGATTTTTAGTCTCAGCATCATCTTTCTCCTCAGTGGCTTTATTCTGGAATATAACAACAAATGGTCTTGCCATAAAGTTTCTTTCTTTGCACTGTCAAACAATGTAAGCAATATACTGGGCAGACCACCAGGAGAAAGGGCCAGACATTCAATAACCAGGCGCTGCAATGGGAAACAAAATGTATTAGGGAAACATGGGCTCCCAAGATAAACACTGCTGAAGGAGGCAGTTGATGCTGGACGACTGCAACCATGATTTTGAAAGGACTGCACAGGGAAACAGAGAATGGAGGACCCAGACTGCTAGCTCTAAATGATGATGGCTGATGAAGAAATACTAGAGGTATGGTTTTATAAAAAGTAAAACTCCCTTTTCCACACCTTCAAACTGATTAGGTATACAGACCTATATTTTATAGACCAAACAGCACTTGTGGTATGGTCAGCATCATTTTGGTGCTGTACCTGGTACCCACTCAAAGCTGGGTCGACCTGGGAGCCAATGGCATTTTTTTAAAAGTCAGGCCCCGAACCCACCACGTTTCGATCCGCAGGCGAGCATCTAGTATAGTTTTATAGTCTTTAATTTTAAAAAAAATCTTTTTCTGACCCTGGACAGCAGGGCACACAATGGAAGTAATTGATCAAGTCTGTACTGGTGCCATCATTATAACTTCTTAAGAGGCCAGGTCGGGTATCAACAATGTATGGTCACGTCTTTACTGGTGCCATCAATATAATTTCTTAAGAGGCCGGATCGGGTATCAACGATGTATGGTCACGTCTTTACTGGTGCCATCAATATAATGTCTTAAAAGGCCGGATCAGGTATCAACGATGTATGGCCAAGTCTTGAATGGGGTTCTGTAAAAATATCACAGTACCCTGGAAAATAATGTTAGGGACATGATGTCATTTGCCAAGTTAACAGTTTTAACTGCCCCCAGAGCATCTGACCGAAAGGCTCTTTTTACACAATTCATTCATGACTGTATGTGTTTTTTGTTTACAAACTTTATGAAATCAAATAGGCAAGCCCAATTTACTCTGGGAACCTCAAGCATCAATGTGGGATGTTACAACCCAGATTAATTCTCTCACTTATCTTCTGTGTGCAAGCATATGTGCATAAATGTACACATACATACATTTATATCCTCACATACAAAACTAGGCACACAGTTAATCTAATATATACAGTCACATTGGTGTTATGTATTGAGACAGTACAATTGACTCATGACCAACACACCTTCTTATTCTCATCCACAAGATGTTTCTCCTCCATGAAATGGCGAGCAGCTTCAGTTGCACTCTGGGCTTGTTTCATACTGGCCTCACTTTCAGCCATGAGGGTGGCCTCTGTGGCAATCAGGATGACAAGCCTCCGAAGAATGCTACAAGACAGGGTCACAATGTCACAAGTAACAAGCTATTATTGTACTACGTTACTGACTGTGTAATGGAAACATTCAAACATTTCACTGTAAAACTGCTTCAATATCCAAACATACAAAAAAGTTACAACAATTATTGGTTATCCTGGTAGTCAAAAGTAGATCTGCTTTGCTTCTTATTGCACTATATGTCTAACAAGAATGTCAATGATTCAGACTGGGTACCTACAATAGTAAATAATTTCCAAGAGAATGTATTTAGGGGTGTCCATCTGAAACCTATTCATAGAGCACCGGGCATAATTGTGTGCACTGAACATGATCAAGCCATAGTCATGAGACAAGTACTGACTAATAAATCAAAGACAATGACGCAGGTTTCTGAATAGAGAAATCTATTCAAAGATCTCAATAAGCAGTGAATCAGTTTCTTTCTTTTGTAGGATGTTGACCATTGGATATTCATTATAGAATGCAGGCAGCGTACGGTAACAAATCTGTGTTGAAGACAACAATGACAGGCAGGACATGAATATTTAGGAAAGGATGTTAGTTCACGACTGACCGTCCATGGTCAGGACAAGCACAGTGTTGCAACAGGAATAAATATTGCCAAAATTATTTTTGTAGCAATACAAGTGAATCATTGTCGAAACTGGTTTGTTAGGGAAAGAGTGCATACCACAGATGCTGGCTGACCACCAAGAGAAGGAACCCACAGGATAGTGTGTGAACCACTTGCTGCATTACTGTACAGGAAGTGTTAGCACAGAATCAGTTGGAAATGCTACAATACAACATCCAACTGTCCTGACTTGTCACTATATGATCTTATTTCTTCAACCTCTTTTAAAAAAAATGCTTTCAAGGGGTAATGATTTCACAGATTCAGATGTAATAATCACAGTAAACACTTGGTTTAGTGAGCAAACTCATTCTACGGTGACTTTTTTCTGACCAACCCATGGTGCATAATTATTTTAAAATAAATGCTTTAATTCTGTCCCACCTGCTGAGGTTTCTCACATTATTCAGTAATAAAGCTATTAGAAAGGGTTTCAAATGTATGCTCCTTATATATGAATGTGTATAATGTATTAACTCTTTCAGCTACAGCTAATGCCGAAGGAAGCAATAACACAGCCATAAAACCGCATGAAAATTACCTTCACTGAGGCTAAACGTAAAAACACCTTATACAGAAAAAAACAAACATGTCAAACAGTCATATTTCTTTAGTATTCTGTAACTACCTGTGTTCCCACCACCCATAAGAGATACAACAAATAATGTACCCTACAATACATGTCACAGAATGCAATAAGAGAGCTGGCATGCATCTGACCTCTGCATTCCATTAAATAACAGGCTGTACAATCCAAACAACTATAAATCAATGAAGGGCTTGTCAAGCCAGTTAAAGGATCCTTCTAAAGCCAGTGGAGTACCCGGCCTATGATGCTAGACTCATTTTTAAACATTACTGGACACTCGGTGGGTGAGGGGCCACCTTTACTTCCCATAACATTACAAGTACTCATCTTAAACCTAATTGACCTAGATAGTGTTGGATTGTTTCGGCATTCAAACTCCGGGTCACAACTTTCATAAATGCCAGCGTGACCTATTTCCGGGTTAACCATGATGGAAGGTATGATCGATTAAGGGTCGGGAGAATTAAAATGTATTGTGCTGTAATTTCTACTTGAATATTCCATACTCATATGTATACTTAGATTGAGGAGGTACTCTTTGATAGAAAGATGAGGCCGATGTGGTTCTGTTGTATACTTAGACTGAGGAGGTACTCTTTGATAGAAAGTGATGCCGATCTGGTTCTGTTGGCTAACGCTTTTGACTAGAAGTCACAGTGGAAGGTTTAAGCTAGGGCTCTTGGGTTGGAAAAACCCAATCAGTCTACTCTTCTCTAACTAGGCTGACCCCTGGTTCCTGAGCTAATAATGGAGATGGATGGAAGGGATAGCAGTACAGAGGCATATGTTTTGACAATATTTTAATCCAGGTTCTCTTTGTATCATTCTCTATAGGATGTATAAGCTATGCAGACAGTCTAGCTGAGGTTGGCATCAGAATCAAAACCCAAGAGACTACACTAAAGTAATTCATTCCTCAGTTCCATACCATACCACTGCCCAGTCGTAACCTGCCAGGTGCCATATTGATCCTGAAGCTGATGGGACATGGTGAGTCCCAACCTGTGAAGTCAACTATAGACTACTTGAGCATGCAGCAGCTGTATTAGCAACTAAATCACCACCACCTGCCAGAGTGCCTATTACATGTATGAACACTGTGATGTTGCCTTGCCCACACCAGGGGTGGCATCAACAGACAGTATTGCTTGTGAGCATCAGTGTACCTGAACTGTTGAGGAGATTCAATTCAGACTGGTGAGAGGAAAGATCTTCACTGCTTCACCTATACAGATGAGTAAATGGAACCAAGACCCATGGCCAACAACTCAAACTGTGAATAAGTTTACAGAGTCCTATCTCACAATCTCCATCGTGATGATGATCTGTTATCAAGGTTGAAGTCAAGCCTGTAGTCTGAGCTGACTAGACTGTAGTTTGAGCGGACTAGACTGTAGTTTGAGCTGACTAGACTGTAGTTTGAGCTGACTAGACTAGTTTGAGCTGACTAGACTGTAGTTTGAGCTGACTAGACTAGTTTGGGCTGACTAGACTAGTTTGGGCTGACTAGACTGTAGTTTGAGCTGACTAGACTGTAGTTTGAGCTGACTAGACTGTAGTTTATACTGCTCTTGCTATATACTGTGCTGTCTTTTGTTTGATCAGTTCACTGATATCCTACCTTAGTTGATATTCAATACATCATGCACTGTTAATCTATATATTACTTTGTTGGTTGGAGTAAAGACTTTCACTGTTTCCTTTATTTAGGTTGGTGTCAGTGTCTGCTATCTTTTCAGATTTCTGGTATGACTGTATTATTTGACTATAAAAGTGATCCTATCTAGTCTGGGGGGCAAATAAGTCGTGCCCAGAGAGATCTAGTTGTCCTGTGGAGCTGAATTACTTGAGTTGCCTCACCCATGAAAGGACGCTGAATGGTGTACAGGAACAAGGAGAACCTTTAGAATAGTTCAAGCCACCATCTGGACACTAAATCCCTTCAGAGTGTCTTTGTTAATTAGAGACATCCTAACAATAGACACATGACACCATCATCTCGTGACACTGGGAGCTCAAGTCAGTTCTAAGGAAAAATCTTCAAAAACTCATTGAACCCAAAACCTTCATGTTGGAAGGCCAGTATCTAGCCACTGAGCTTCTGTGACTCCCAGACATAAGTCACAGTAGGGCCTATTCTCAAGTGGTAGACGAAAGACAGAATGAACAGAAATGTAAGAAGTACAAACATGAGAAGACTGGTATGTATATGGAGAACAGCGCACCAAACATGGGAGTGCAAGATAAAATTATTCTCTAAAACAGAGGTGTATAAGGGGTGTGTTGCAATAAATTGCTACAGCTAATTATGTTTAAAACAACTGCTTTTATTCTACTATCATAGTATGGGGCGTCAAAGGCTGGCCCAGCCTAAAATGGGTACCAGGATGGATGTCCTGGGGAAGTAAAGACGGCCGGGGTAATGCTGACCACAGTGCTGATTGGTCTGTACAAATATTGGACGCTCTTCCCATATGCCCGATCCACCTATGGCGTGAAAAGGGATCTTTACTTTACTAACTAAGGTTTTAATTGGTGTCCCTTACACTTAAAACTGTAACCAACTTAGCCAACATAACCCTCCACCTATGGCGTGAAAAGGGATCTTGACTTTACTAACTAAGGTTTTAATTGGTGTCCCTTACACTGAAAACTGTAACCAACTTAGCCAACATAACCCTCCACCTATGGCGTGAAAAGGGATCTTGACTTGACTAACTAAGGTTTTAATTGGTGTCCCTTACACTGAAAACTGTAACTAACTTAGCCAACATAACCCTCCATGCCATAGCCATTTTTCTTCTTTTAACTTCTGACAGAAAAAGTCCATCACATCATCAAGGATTCGAACCTAGGTCTCCTAGATGAGAGCTCAGGATTCTTAACCATTTAGCCAGCTACTCTTCGTTACCATATTTTTGTCCTCTTCAATTTTAAATATAAGCATAAAATTGTCTGCATGCTTATGGCTTACACACAAAGAGAGGTTGCTGGAAAGTGAGGGGGGAAAAAACAACTAAAGCAACTTACAACCAAAGAAACAAAGCAAATCCAGCTATGTACATATTCCTCTGAGCACGGAACAACTTCATATGGTAAACAGTCTCTGCCTCAGGGTAACGCCTGAGATCATCACTTTCAACAGGCTCTGAATACTTCCATGTCTCACGAATAGATTCTGCCAGAGGTTCAAGTATGATAGGGTCAGATGATGAGATGCTACAACTACTAACTACAACTGCACACAAGCAACACATTACTCACATCCACAAAAACAGTGCAAAGCCAGATATATACAGATTTCGCTGAGCACGAAATAATTTCATGTGCTGTAGGGTTTCTGCTCCTATCGATGTCTTCGAATCCTTTAAGGCTAATGGTTCAGAATACTTGCGCACTTCCCGAATAGACTCTGGCGATTCAAAGATAAACAAGTATGGCATACATGACAATGCCAGTTTGGATGACAACTACAACAGAAAACCATCTAACTTGTTAACGTTAGCAAGGCTTATCAAGAAAGCAAACATTACATTACTATGAATGTCATAAGTTGAGTTGAGTCAAGAATTGACATCATAGCACTTAGGGCTTTCCCATGCATGTTCTGTCCTCAGCTTCAGCAGCCAGCACAGAGTTCCAATACTGATGGTACCAGTCACAATCTAGTTAAAAGTTCGCCTTGTCTTTCCTCTGAGTGTTGTGAGCTGGCCAGACCCTCTGGTTACACCCAGGTGCCTCATTCTCTCAAGGCCATAATAATAATCTTTCTCTACTGATTCCGTTGCTTGTTCCCAAAGGGCCTTGACCACATCTGCCTTGTCATGTATCAATTCACCACCCAGCGGGGCAGATCCAGCCAGTCTGTCTGCCTGTTCATTACCCACCACACCGGCATCGCCTGCAGAAAAGATCCATACTATGCTCACCAATCATGACATTCCCAGTGAAACTAGCCACTCTGCTCCAAGCATTCCTGTCTTCACCTTTTACAGCATGCTTTCAGAGTCTTATTACAATTACGCCTTGTGTATGCATCTTGTTCTCTAGCCACTGGAGAGCTGCAGTTACCGCCTCCACCTCCATTCTCATGCTAGATGTTATGGTGTCATATGCTAGGCTGTCTTGCACTAAAGATTTTCAATTGGCTTTCAAACCCCCAGGCACTTCTCTTTCCTCTCAACACTGAAACATCCGTATAGATAATCAGATCACCTGGGCGTGAATCAACTGTTGGACTTCAACCTTGTAGCACCCGCTGGCCATTCTCTGCACACCCGGCCTAATGTTATCATAACCTTACACAGGTCAAATTTTCCCGATGGTAATGTGACCCACTCCTCTCCAAATGTTCGTCATCCACAATTTTCCCCATTTCAGCCTCTGACCCTTGCCTGCAGCGAAAGCTTCATACAGAGGGTGTTCCCTGTCTGCAGCTACTTTGAGGTATGACTTAGCCTGCAGTACCTTTAGCCTATCTGCAATAGTCGGCAATGCAGGGATGCACACAATCTAGAGAACACCACAGGACGGTTGCCTTTTCTGGGTTGATTACAGCACTCATCTCTGTACACCAGTCGATCACCTTATCTACTGTTGCCTGTAACTCTTCAGCTATTTGATTCCGATCTCTTACCTTTCTATATACAAGAACAGCATCTGCAAATATCAATATTCTGCCAGCTCCAGGTGTTTCCAGGCGGGCAATCTTGCTCATAAAAACATTGAACAGTACAGGTGAAATTGCTGATCCCGTGGCAGTCCTGAAGCTATAATACATGGTTCAGAGGTCCATGAACCCAGGCGGAGAGCTAACCGTCGAGTATACAAAACGGCTGCTATCCAATTCACCAAACAAGGACAGATTCCCTTCTCCATAAGCGCTTTCATCAAGATACTGTGTTTGACTGTTGCAAGCCTCTTCTAAACCGAGTGCCGCTGCCACCGTTTCCTGTCTGTTCAGGAAACTTTCGAAGGTATCAAAGGCAAAAGTGAGCGCACTTGACCATATGTCTTTCCTCGGCCAGTGACTTCCCAATCCTCGTGTAAGCAGATTACTCTGTTCCAAAAATTCTTGTAGCTTACTCGACGCTATCTTCTCTAGCACTTTACCAAAGGTGTTTTGTAGAGTTATGATCCTAAAACCGCTGAGTGTTGAATGATCCTTGCCAGGCTTAGGAAGTGGAATCAGGTAGCTGTGCATCCACTCTTCTGAGACTAAAGCTGTCCTTATGCTCTGGTTGAAGCAAGCAGTCATCTCCAACAGGTCTGCATCACTCACGTCTTTCATGTGGGAATATCTAACCCCGTCTGGCCCCGGCGCAGTGTCTTTCGCTCTTTTGAGAACACGTTTTACATCTTCCACCTGTATGATATCTTTTTAATGTTGGTTCTCTTAGATGGCTGCCAGATCTCTAACTCTATCTCTGTTATCTCCATCATTGTGGTCTGTCTGTGAAATGAACCTTTTCAGGAAAGCCTTCCCCTTCTTTTTTGTCTGTAGCTGATAGCATATGGTCATCTTTATGAACAGCTCCTACTACGCTGGGCCAATCTTTCTTGAACATCTGCCTATGTAGCTTCCAAAACTTTCCAAATGTCTTATCGCTCCCAATCTCATAAATAAAATGCTCCCATTTTGCTTTTTGGGCCTCTGCCGCACAGCGCTTGAAAAACTCTATCTTATCTTTCTTAACTCTTTCCGCGAACTCCTCTTCCTGTGAGCTTACGCCTGTCTGCCGTACTTTCTTTAAAAGCTGAACTGCTGCTCTCTTTAGCTCCCATGCCTGTTTAACCTTTGATGTCCACCATGGAGGCTGCACAAAAGTAGCTCTGCTGTTATTCTGACATTCAAACTTGAACTCTGGCCACAAACCCCCTCCTGAGTATTTCCTCACATAATAATTAACAGGTAGACAAACTGACATCCAAATACTGGCTTGATATGCTAATAAAAAGAATATGTTAGCATATACAAATAAGGTGACAGTTAATCTCGACTATAAAAATCCGCAACTTACCTAAAAACAGAAGAACCAGAATGGCTATGAAAATGTTGAAGTAAATATTGGAGTACCTTGAGAACAAGGAGGCAATGCGAGATCTGAACAGCTTCTGCCATCTGCAGAGCAGCACAAATAAGCTAGATTTAATTTCAATGATGGATTACAGAAATATTTATTGTCTGTTTTGCTAAGGGTTGGTGGTGCAGACAAAGAGAAATAGTAGATAGCAGGGGGAGATAGAAAGAAAGAGACAACTGGGAGAAAGAGACAGACAGAATTGTTTCTCTCTCAATGACATATATCTCAACAGTAAAAGAGAAATTGTATGTGTCCTGTTACAAAAACAATCTGTGCCAATTTTGCTACCAGGTAAAAAAAAAACATGGTAAAAAGTAAAAACAACATAAAATGTGACTAGAACGCTCAATAGAGGAAATGTAAAACACATGCACAAATACAACAGAATGTTTTGACCAAAGCCCTTATCAACAGAGTAGTTAATACAACATAAATAGTTAATGGAAAAAACGGACAAGACAACAGGGCTTTTAATCAACCAAAGTCAACATGAAGCCAAGAAATGCATAGTATAGGAGGGAGATATGGATATGACAAATGGAAAAAAAAATAAGTAAGAAGGCATTTGAAAAAAGATGGAGAAATATAAATGGGTGAAACAAATGTTTAAAAATGTAAAAACTTTTTTCTCTTTACACACATAGCAGTGTCAAACATGAATGAAATGATTTTCTAAGAAATATCAGCTGGTTTGATGGATGCAGCACCACAAGGAACCTACACATTCAATATTTCTGATTTCTGACAGAACATGAGATCAGACTACAACTGTCTCATGGGTACCTTACGCTACAAATTTGTCTCATCTTAAAGCACCCCCCCACTCCCCCCCCCCCCCCCCCCAATTTTAGACCACAGAATAGAATATAATAATAAATCACTTTCACATTAATAAAAATAATCCTTGAGTATAAATTAACAAATTGCAAAACACAGAGATATGTATCAACAGTAGATGGAACTATTTCCAACGAGACAAGTAAATTATGAGCAAAAAGTTTCACGTTGTATGCCTCGTTTTATTATAACCCTGGGTAGAAAAATTTTTAATGTTAAATGTAAGAGAGGTCTCAGTTTAAAGTTTGAAGTCAATGTAGGAGCTAATGCTGAACTGTTACAGCTGTGCCTTCCAGTTTTTGAAAACAAACAATACAACACACAATAACAACAACAACAACAAAACAATATGTCCGCCAATGCCTTTAAAGCAAAAATATGAAATTTAACTTTCAAACAATTGGCCAAATGATTGCATTCCTGTAGAGCAACACAGACACCATGTGATTTGTCTTGAATCCAATGGCATGATCAGGGGTTGCACGGGAAAGCACAAGCTCATAACTACAACATCAACAGCTTCCCTCAGACCTTTTACCTCTCATCACTGACCGAATTTAGAGACATCAGGTAGGGAGAAGGGTGCAGCAAATAGTTAAAGTGTTAGAAATTAGCATCTAAACAGCACACAAAATATCCTTGCATTTATTCTGCTAGCATCAAAGGTACTTCAATCTAATCACTTTCTACATGATTAGCACTGTGGCATTAGTGGAAAGAGATGGAAAAAGAGACAGAGAGAGAATGAGGAGAGTAAAGTAAGAGTTGGAAAGGGAGAAAAGAGGAAGAAAGAATGTATTTAAAAAACAAAATTAGTAAGTAAAGAATCAAGCCAATCTGGCAATGAGGAAGTGGTGACAATTAGGAAAGATAACTCTTGTGTTGTGTAACCAAAAACAGCATGGGTAAATCTCAGACTTTCGTGGTAATCACACGGTTAATCTTGGACTTCCACTGGTTGATTTAATTTAAGAACCGACATCACAGCACTCGGGGCATTCCTATAAGCGCTCTGTCCGCATCTTCAGCAGCCAGTGAAGAGTTCTGACACTGATGGTGTCAGTAGCATTCTGATTAAATGTCTGTCTTACCTTTCCTCTGAGCCTCGAGCATTTGCCAAAACCTCTCGTCCCCCCCCCCCCCCCACCATCAATCTCACCAGACTGTACACGCTCTCCCACAAGGCACTAACCACATCTGCCTTATCATGTATCAGTATTCCACTAAGACGTGCAGAGCCAGCCAGACAGTCTGTTTGTTCATTTCCCAACACACCAGCATTACCAGGCAAAAAAATCCAGACAATACTCCTCACCTATGTCCTCTGCAGCGAAGCATGTCACGCTGCATAAAGCATGCCTGCGCTGATCTTCCTCAGCATGCTTTCTGAGTCAGTTACAATCACGATGTGTGTGTGTCTCGTGTTCTCTAACCAGCGGAAAGCCTCCATTGTTAAGCTGGATGTTGTGGTATCATATGCCAGGCTGTCCTGCACCAAACGTCGACCACTAACTTTTTCTAAGAAACCCTAAGCACTTCTTTTGCCTCTTGACACTAAACTGGTGAAGTGTACAATTACTAATGACAATGTGATATGTGTATTTTAGTGGAAAGGATTTTCTTCACTATATGTTGATGTCATTTTTGTAGTAATGCGCCCAATAAAATGCAAACAAATTTGTCTGGCTACAAATTGTGTCTTTTAGTGTTTGTGTCTGTATTATTTAAATTCATAACAAGAAAATACTGTTTTGAATGTCATAAACAAAAATATAACAGGTACACAATGTTCTCACTGAAAGTTTATGTGGCTTGTTCATTTATATGCTGTGAATGCTAGACACAACATAATCACATAGTTAAACTAGAGGCAGTAGATGTGTAGTTTTGGAGAAGAATGTTGAGGGTAACACCGGTAGAGAAGAATGTTGAGGGTAACACCGGTGGAGAAGAATGTTGAGGGTAACACCGGTGGAGAAGAATATTGAGGGTAACACAGGTAGAGAAGAATGTTGAGGGTAACACAGGTGGAGAAGAATATTGAGGGTAACACAGGTAGAGAAGAATGTTGAGGGTAACACAGGTGGAGAAGAATACTGAGGGTAATACAGGTAGAGAAGAATGTTGAGGGTAACACAGGTGGAGAAGAATATTGAGGGTAATACAGGTAGAGAAGAATGTTGAGGGTAACACAGGTGGAGAAGAATATTGAGGGTAACACAGGTAGAGAAGAATGTTGAAGGTAACACAGGTAGAGAAGAATGTTGAGGGTAACACAGGTAGAGAAGAATGTTGAGGGTAACACAGGTAGAGAAGAATGTTGAGGGTAACACAGGTGGAGAAGATAATGCATGTAGCAAGAGACCCAATCCATCGGGAAAAGATGACATTTATGGAGATCTCACCAACAGAGGTGGTGTGGAGAAATTAGCCTTTTGTGGGCAAATACAAGACAAGGGAGGGAGAGAAAAACAAAGACATATAGTTGTAGAAAGCTAAAACTGCTAGGTAACAAATGATAATATGAACAACAACAAAGACAGATAGTTGTAGAAAGCTAAAACTGCTGGGTAACAAATGATAATATGAACAACAACAAAGACAGATAGTTGTAGAAAGCTAAAACTGCTAGGTAACAAATGATAATATGAACAACAACATAGACAGATAGTTGTAGAAAGCTAAAACTGCTGGGTAACAAATGATAATATGAACAACAACAAAGACAGACAGTTGTAGAAAGCTAAAACTGCTAGGTAACAAATGATAATATGAACAAAAACAAAGACATATAGTTGTAGAAAGCTAAAACTGCTGGGTAACAAATGATAATATGAACAACAACATAGACAGACAGTTGTAGAAAGCTAAAACTGCTAGGTAACAAATGATAATATGAACAACAACATAGACAGACAGTTGTAGAAAGCTAAAACTGCTAGGTAACAAATGATAATATGAACAACAACAAAGACAGTCATGATGTCTTCTCCAGAACAGACGACCTAAACCAACAAATATTTGAATTATTCAAAAATAGTTTAAAAAATGCACTACTTCTTTCAGTACTGTTTCAGCACTTTCTAACCCAAAATTAAAATATTTTACAGTTTGTCTTTGTGACTCTCACAGGGAAACTATAAAACTGGATGGGTCAAAGTAACCATCAAGGTAGTTAGGTTTAATGTCACAGACCAAAGGTACAGACAAAATGTTGCTAGTGTATATCATGTACAAACAAAGTCATCATTGAACATTTGGTGAGTTGCTTGGCATTAAAAAGGTTTATTAAATAAAATGAAAGTTAGAGAAGGTCTCAGCTTGAAATCTGAAGTCAATGCAGGAGCTGATGATGAACTGTTACAGCTAAGCTTTCTAGTTTTATATAAATATTAACACAACAACAGTCACACAAGACACACACTTAACCACAGCAAACACTTGTCTGCCAATGCCTTTGAAGCAAAACTATGGAAGCTGCGCTTTCTAACAAATGGCATCAATATCTCTGTACAAGCACATCAGTGCCAAGTGGCTTATGTCTGGAATCCACTGGCAACATCTGGTGCTGCACCAGAAAGCACTGTAACTACATCATCAGCTCCCTCTCAGACCTTTTACCTCTCATCACTGACCTTGTTCAGACATCCAGCTGGGACATGACAGCCACAAAATAATGGAGCTAAAATATTTCATGAACCACAAAGAACCTTTATAAATATTTCCTTGGGGTTCTGAAATAATCAACTTCAAAACATGTAAATTATGTTTGATCCAAGTCAATGCTAACCCAAACACTCAAAGTGAAAGATAAGAAACAGTAGTGGCAGTAATTATATAGGTGAATAGCCCATTTGTAAACCAAGGTAAGCGTCCAAGGTTGTTGTTTGGCATCTTCCTCAAAAGGGTGGTTGGCATGTTGTTTTGTGGTTTGAGTCTACCGCATCTGACGTTGGCAAATTCTTAGTCACATCTTACAATGTGCTTCTGAAGGTGCAGTGGTCCTATTCTTGTTATTGTCCTAAAATAGGGGCCCAGAACCCACATGTCCCAGGTTCAAAACCCAGCTGTGTCCCGATTTTGTCCTGACTAATGCAGCTGTGGGAGCTGAGCCAGCCTCATAAAACTGCTGCTTGAAAATTACAAGAATTTTCAGAGACATGTCAGTAAAGGACAGGTGACAACAAAGAAGAGGAAATGATTACAAGAAATGCAAGCTAGAAAGTGTGATGGTCTAACAATTTACACTTCAATGATATTCATAGGGTAATTTTACCTTTTTAATGAAGTGTGCAGTATTTTTCAAATCATAGAATGAAGAAACGGGAAAGTAAAAATTAAAGCTGAAAAAATATGTGCAAGTTGCTACAGTTCTTGAAGAAGTAATGGAAAACATCTATTTGAAAAACAAACAAACAAATAAAACTGTTTCAAAACTACTGACTGAAAAACACATAAATCACCTAGTCAAATACTCAGTTGTTTCAGAATACATATACATGTGAATATGAGAACAAAACTGAAAAAAAGAAAAGAAATATCTCAATTTACTTACGTTTTTGGTGAAACAAATGGCAGGAGAAGGATAGAAACAAGAAATATCTCAACATATAAAACACCAGCCACAAATGTCCACTGCAAAGTCATCTTGCAGGCTGCTCAGCTGATTATTAAACCTGCATTATGGATTAAAACAATTCTGTTCAGCCTACTAAAGAAAGCATATGGTTAAAATAATCAACAATGTCATTGATTGCATTCTCCTTCTGCTCTTATCCCAAATGCAGCATTTGTCCAGCACGTCTTTTTCTGCATCCGACCTTGAAATGGCACTTGCACATCGTGTATGGTTAACAGCTAGGCTGTGATATCTGCATCTTTCAAGGATATTGACTTGTGCTGATGTTGTTCTTGCACAAAGGCAGGGGAGTAATAGGCTAAGGTTAGCCCAAGAGCTACAGTCAACTGTAGACAAAGTGACTGACTGATGGGCAAAAATGGGTGCTGTCATAAATTCAGAAAGGCTGCTGTTCTGTGGTATTCTCTGGACAGTAAAATTGTAAGAGCTAATACTCCAAGCCTCACAATTAACAACAATAACATCAAAAGAGAAAGTAAACTGAGGTACCTATAGGAAAAACGTGGAGGCAGTAGTGGTGAAATGCCAAAAAAGGACTCAATGCTCTCAAGATTATGGCGGCAATGGACACGGAAAAAAGAATGTTATTCACAATGTTCCAGTATGTGATCCTGTCAGTGATAGATTATAAACTTGGAATGCTTGTCGTATCAAACAGTCAGCTGATGACACTTGAACGCAAACTGCCATGCAGTGGATGCCTTTCATCATTGCTAACTTGCATACAGGCCTTGGCTTGTGAAAGTGACAGACTTGACCCATGTCAGCCTAAGCATATACCTCATTGTTCTAATTGGTATATCTTACATGCAACCTAAGACGATTTTCATTCTGAATCCATTCAAGCTTTGTACACTGTGAAGTAAATAGGGTTACAATTCCTAGGTCATAATCAACTAGTGAAAGGACTTGATTTGTTGAACAATAAGACCACCGGTCTCTGTTCCATATGTATCGCCATCATCATTTTCAGTGCCGCCAGACCACGTTTGCATTTGATCAGTCTGCTCCATGTGATATTTGTAGGACAGACTGCAATAAAACGTCAGCTTAAGAATTTTAGCTTATCTCTTCTTTCAACATTTACACCCTTCATGGATATGCTTAGCAAGTCTTCATTTCCTCTGAATAACGGTCCCAAATTATTGAGGTCCAATATATACTCTAACAGGGCCTAAGTCCCATGTAAATTGCGGACTTCCTGTGACTACCTCCGAGAGTATCTCACATGCCGCTATGCTGTTTTTTAAGCAGCACCACAAAACACTGACTTTCTCTGGGTTTACCCTTGACCCTGTCTGTTCACACCACTCCGTCATCTCAGGCAAAGCATGCTGCAAGTCTCTGGTCATGACATGCCTGTCTGACCCGCTTTGATATATTATTAGGACACCATCTGCAAATCAAATACACAAGGTTACCCTGGTCCAGGGGGCTGAATTTTTGCCAGACTGGCTGTAAGTATGTCGAACAAGATGGGTAACACGACACAGTGATGGTCTCTGACTCTTGAGGAGGAAGGCCTGGGCAAATGCATTTTTGCATTGGATAAGTATGAGTATTACTGCTATGTCCAGAAAGATCTGCTTTTGTGTTATGAAAAACATTCCATTTGGTGTTTCTAATTATAACACTGGAAATTATATTACGACTCTAAAGAGCCGCTCTTGCAGGTGTGCAGAATCTGATTCTGGATTTAATGTCGAGGGTGGAGACCAACGCAAATTACTATTACTATAATAATATAAATTAGACAATTTTAGTCGTCAGAGGAATAGCGTGGAATACTTACTGTCATAGAATATAGCTATATATACAGCCATTGCCTTGACATTTAAATACATACAAGAGAACTCGATGGGTTACTGTACACCGGTGAACAAAGTCCAATTTAAACCTACCTACGATCGTTTCCTTACATAAAGAGGGGCTATCGAAAAATGGTCACTGAAACACATCACAACATTTCTTTATGCAACACTTACTTAATGGTTGTACATAAATGATGAAATTTCACACAAACAAAGTGACGTACGGTTGGTAATTTTAGCAAAGTAACTTGCCGGTGACTCAAAAACTGGTTGTTGTCTGAGTTGTCAACCGCTGATTGCTTGATTCGAGTCAACCGTAAACTGCCATCTAACAAACAAGTCTGCGCGTCGTGGAGTCGATGCTTCCGGTCTCCAGGTCCGCGTACCAACAGTCCCGCAAGATGTGTTCCCTTGCCACAGGCACAGCCTTCTGTAGGATGTCGTGTCATGGGCAAGCTATTTCTTTATTATTCTGTTGCGTGTAACTAGCTGGACTACTTCGATTAGTGAGGTGCCTTTGTGATATGATTATTAAACTTCACCGAAATGGTCTACTGACTGCTCCTCCTACGTACGGTCGAGCTGGATTTTTTAATGAATTCACGGTACTATGACTAGGGAGTTCAACGAAAGAAGAGAACAAAAGGAGTGAGGAAAAAAATAGGGGGGGGGGGGGTTGGGGTACAGGGAAGCAATACAGCATGTTGGGCCTGTCTATATTAACCAGTCGGCTCTGTGGCTAAGTCGATGCGAACGCTTCGTAATACCGGGATGCCGGGTTCGATTCCAGCTGCGGGCCATGCGCCTTGCGTTGGTTTCGACAGTGGTATCAAGAAAGCAGACCGTCCAGTAAGCAATGTCAAAATACTGGACGTAAATTTGCCTAGAGAAACCACACAACAGCCAGGGCCTGTTGGGGTTGGTTCTGCAACGTCCTGTAAAGGATACGCAACTAACCTATATCAACCAGCGCCACAAGAAAAGAATCCTAGACACCAATTCCCACCTGGGGAGTCGCGTGAATGGCCAAAAAAAAAAAAAAAAAGTGAAAACCCAAGATGTGTCATGTCCCTGGCTAAATCAATGATATCTTATTATTATTTTACTTGCTGTAACTTACTGAAATCTTTTTTTTTTTTTTTTCGAGACAGTATTATAGGCTACTAGCAGCATTTTACTTCTTCTCAATAGTTACTCCCTGGCTCCCTAGTCGACTAAGCCAACAATTAGTGTCAGGTAATGTCATTGGAAGTAAAGGCGGTCGCTTTAATATTGACCATATCAGACTGCAAATGTCGATTGATCTATTTAAAAAACAATTAGGCCTTGCACTGTATGCCAGGTTCGGCAACAGCTTGCAACTTGTTATTCACCTGGATCCACACATCTGGATATCCCGGGGTAAAGGGCGATGAACGAGCGGATCACCTGGATTCACACATCTGGATATCCCGGGGTAAAGGGTGATGAACGAGCGGATCACCTGGATTCACACATCTGGATATCCCGGGGTAAATGGTTATGAACGAGCAGATCACCTGGATTCACACATCTGGATATCCCTGGGTAAAGGGTGATGAACGAGCGGATCACCTGGATTCACACATCTGGATATCCCTGGGTAAAGGGTGATGAACGAGCAGATCACCTGGATTCACACATCTGGATATCCCTGGGTAAAGGGTGATGAACGAGCGGATCACCTGGATTCACACATCTGGATATCCCTGGGTAAAGGGTGATGAACGAGCAGATCACCTGGATTCACACATCTGGATATCCCGAGGTAAAGGGTGATGAACGAGCGGATCACCTGGATTCACACATCTGGATATCCCGAGGTAAAGGGTGATGAACGAGCGGATCACCTGGATCCACACATCTGTATATTCTGGGGTAAAAGGCGATGAACGAGCGGATCACCTGGATCCGTCACTGGAATTGCCCTCATGATTTGATTTGATTCAAGAACCCACTTTACAGCACTCAGAGCATTCACATAATCGCTCTGTCCCCATCTTCAGCAGCCAGCGAAGAGTTCCGATACTAATGGTGCCAGTAGTATTCTGATTAAACGTCCGTCTTGCCTTTCCTCTGAGCCTCGAGCATCTGCCAGAACCTCTCGTCACTCCCCGCTGCATCAATCTCACCAGACTGAAAAAGTCCAGACAATAATCCTCACTCGTGTCCTCCGCAGCGAGGCATGCCACTCTGCACTAAGCATGCCTGTCCTGATCTTCCTCATCATGCTTTCTGAGTCAGTTACAATCACGATGTGTGTGTGTGTCGTGTTCTCTAGCCAGTGGAAAGATGCAATGACCGCCTCCACCTCCATTCTTAAGCTGGATGTTGTGGTATCATATGCTAGGCTCTCCTACACCAAACGTCGACCATTAACTTTCGCTAAAAAGCACCAAGCACTTCTTTTGCCTCTTGACACTGAACTGTCTGTGTAAATGATCTAATCTTCTGAGTGAGCATTATCTTAAATTAATTGCTGAATTTCCACCTCTGTGGCACCTGCTGGTCAGTCTCTGCATTGACCCACACCTCTCCTCGCCCAATGTTCTCAAAGATGCAAACCTGTCTGATTGTATCTTCACCCTGAGCCATCCATTACTTCCCTCTTACCAGCTGCTGACCCTTAACTGCACTCAGAGCTTCGTGCAAAGGGTAGTCTGTGTCTGCCTGAGATATGACTTCGCCTGCAGCACCTTGTGCTTACCTGCAACATTCGGCAAACCAAGGATGTATCGCATACACACCACTGGGGTGTCTCTGGTGCAACCCAGAATTACTCACATTGCTGCGTTCTGAATGCGCTCTAGTTTGTCCATCTGACTCTTTGAGACGGTAAGCATTCCTAGGCCATAATCCACCACCGAAAGGATCAGTTGCAGCCATTGTCGTAAGTGTACTAAGTTTTCCTCATATATCATGTATATATATTTGACATGTCACAAAAACGCTCATAAAATCCAATGTATTGTCGACTATTGAATGATTAGATTTGTGGATGTTTGGTCGGTTAGATAGATTAATTGGCAGTTAATGTTAGGATAAATGTTTGGTTTGTCTGAAGATGGATCGGTTTGTTGTTTCAGTGCTTAGGTCTTCGGCAGATAAGTTTCTGTGTTGGAAAATGATGATGTTCGTTGTTGGAGGCCTTTGTTGGTTTATTGATTGGTTATGAATGG